CCTCCCTCCCTCCCTCCCTCCAATGGCTGTTTCACTGCATTGAGCAAGCCAGTTCTCTTTGTTTTCTTTTGAAACGGGCAGAATCACATCCAGGAACAAATCAAAAGTATGCCAGTTTATCTCTGGAGGTTTATTAGTATCTTTCCAGCCCCTTCCTGGGCTGGGCTATAATTTTTACAGTAACATTTCCTGAAGATAACAGTGCATCATGCAAACAGGTTTAAATCCTTCTGGCTCCAAGAGCTGCCAGTAGAAGAAGTGGGGAAGACAGAGAGAGGGAGAGGGCTTTTTTTGCCCCCCACCAAGAAGCCAGAGAGAAATTAACTCCGAAGAAGATTAATTTCAAAATACAGCATATCTTCCAGACATCCACTCTAATCTTTCCTGGCCCATCTTTAGTGGCAGACAATTTGTTCCGTACTCTCCAGCTCGCTCCTTCAAAAAGTAGCAATCACATTTTTTCCCCCCCTGAAAAAAAGTATATACTTAGAAGTCTGTAGCTATAGAGCTTAGTGAAGGTCGAGGAGAAGAAGAGCAGTGGAAGAAGGAGGAAAAGAAAGAGGAGGAGTGGAAAGAGGAGGAGGAAAAGGAGAGGAAGGAGGAGAGGAGGAAGAAGAAGACAAAGACGAAGAAGAAAATTATTATTGATGTTCTTATTTTGAGAGTCTCTTGAGTGACTGGCATCAACCAACCCTAGCTGTTCTTCTAACAAGATTTTTCTGTTACATTACACTGGAGACTGGCCTCGCACATGGAGTCTGAGGTGGGAGTAAATTAATGGTGGGGAATGTGATGGGGGAAGTGATATTTGAACTACTGTCGCTTGTTGAAATCTGCTTCATGATTATTTTCAAGTCCTTTTGCGCCGCTAATCTGCTGTCCAATCTTTATTTGAATGAACCAAGCAGGCTAAACAACAAAAGAGCATTAAGTCCATTTTTTAAAAAAATTCTTAAACTTCTTCAGCCAGACAAAAAATACATAGTCTTCTCTGACTTGAAAACATTTGCTTTTTTAAAAAAAAAAAAAATCAGAAAAGTGTGTTGGGTTTTTTGCAGTGCGCTTTTCAGCAAGAAGTTTGCCTTCGATCTTCTTGTGGATGGTTTGTGCGGAATTGCCATTCAGATGATTTTATTCTAAATAGCATTGTACAAAAACAGTATCGAAAAATTTAACATTTCTTTTTAAGTTCAACCAACCGATTGGTTGAGGTATATATATATATTTGAAGATGGAGTGTCCGCCGATCTTTGAAAACTGGGTTTTCAAAGGTTATTGAATGTGGTTAGTTTTGCTGGATACATCTTATGTCGTTCTCTTTTATTTATTTGTAGGTATTGTGCGTACTTAGGTACTTTGGAATTATTGAAAAAGTGATCCATAAAAATAGGAGCAATGATCAATAATATATCCTTCAAAAGTCTTATTGGGGAACGTGAGGTCGGTTGAGAATGGTTGATGGAATGATAGGCAGATGAGAAGGGTGCATGAGGAACATCTGAAGATGATTGTGCTGAAGATGGTAGTTGAGAAACAAACTCTGGACATTTCTGAAAATTTTAAATAACTGTTTGGTGTCTGGGTGGTGTGAAGTTCCCTTTATTTCATTTGGGCTTTTCTGCATTGGCTTATCTTAACCATTTGACTCGCCACCATGGAACACCATATGAGAGCTTTGCATTAAAATCCTTAGAATTCTATTCTGTCCTTGTAAAAACCAAGATGGAGGGGGGAGAAAACGATGAACTGGATCCTGTTGCACTTACAAATTCCAACTCCAAAGTTTTCTGAAAACAAGACAGCTACTACTGATCATTGTTGCCAGTGCCCTTTGTCTTGTGGCACTGAATCTTGTGGGATTTCCCCTGAATCTTGTGGGGTATTCTAGAGACCTGTTGCTTTCTCCCTGAATTCAGCCATTCTGAAAAAATAAATAAAAATAAAGCCATAAACCAGGTTTTCCTCAGTTGATAGCATTCATTCAGTCAGTCAGCGTAAAGAAGTCAGGTGAGACTTAGGGAAATTGTAGACCAACATATCTGGATCACAGTGGAAAAGGGTGATACACGTTTCTCACTGGTTCTAATAGCTGGTTGGTTGTTTGGTTGTTTGTTGTTCATACTTTTGATATTTTTGATATGTTTTCAGTGGAGATGATAGATAAATAGGTGGATGGATGGATGAATGGATGGATGGATGGATGGATGGATGGATGGATGGATGGGCGACCAGGCAGTCATTGGCCTGTGTATTTGACCTTCATTGTTATGGGTAAATTTAGTAGACCTGCTCCACAGTTTATATGTATTTTATAAACTAAAAGACATGCTCTTAAGTAATTATGTTTGTTAACAGTGAAATACTTATGATTTAATATCAGGATAAGACAACATTGTCCCCAAGCTCATAATCTAGAAAGACAGAAAATGGATAGAAAAAATATCTTTGCAACCATAGATGATTTGAGGTGGGTTACTTAGCAGGTCAAATCATTTGCAGACTTAATTATGATCTATCAAGTGCTAAAAAGGTTCTGCTTCTTAGAAAACATTTTCTCTCTCCATTTTGTGGGTATTATACCAATCTTGAGATGAAATCGAAGCAAATCAACAAATTAGTGTAAAAAGGCGAGAGGAGTGATGGAGATCAAGATTCCAAATCAGGCTTTATCTGGTGTGTCGCTTCTCCATTTGGTCTGTTTGCACATGTTTTCCTTCAAAGCCCAGTGAAGAAAATGCTCTGCAAAATTTTTCCTTTTTAAAAAAAAAGCATGGTTAAAAAAGTGTTGTCCAACCGGCCTTCAGAACCAAAAGCAGACCGAAAATGGATGTGATCTTAAGTAAACATCCTTTCTCCATTGTTGATGGAGATAGCATCCAGGAATGGGTTAACTTCGTCTCTTATCCAATCCGACTGAGTCTGCAAGTTTAATGTCCTGCCTCCTTTCGTAGCTCAACCCAGCTTTTTGACTCAGTCTGCTATCAGGACTGGACGTATTCTTTTTCCTCTCTCTGTTTCAAAGAGGTTGGCTCCCTTCTAATTCCATCTAGGTTGAGCAGCCCAAGCAGCCTTCAGAGCTAAAAGCAGACAGGACTTGGATGTAATCTTCAAAGTAAACCTTAAGTAAACATCCTATCTATGTTTGTTTTCTTCCTAGAAAAAGATCTACAAGTACAAGAAAGTGCTGAGTAATCCAAGCCGCTTAGAGGTGGTCCTGAAAGAAATCCGGAGTTTGGTGGACATGGCGCTAACTTCCCCTTTGCAGGATGAATCCATCCATCAAGCTCCTTTAGAAATTGTTTCCAAGTTGCTTTCAGAGGTAAGTATTTGGCAATGATGTCTCTTCATTTCTGTTTTCTAATGATCCAAACCAACAAACTTCTAAACCCAGTGCAGCAGATTTTTAGGCAGAATCTATTACAGGACGGTATAATGGTTCAGTGGTCAAAGTGTTGAGTGTTGAGCCGAGGTGGTGCAGTGAGTAGAGTGCAGTACTGCAGGCCACTTCAGCTGACTGCTATCTGCAGTTCGGCGGTTCAAATCTCACCGGCTCAAGGTTGACTCAGCCTTCCATCCTTCTGAGGTGGGTAAAATGAGGACACAGATTGTGGGGGAAAAATGCTGACTCTGTAAACCGCTTAGAGAGGGCTGAAAGCCCTATGAAGCGATATATAAGTCTAACTGCTATTNATATTTATGACTACAGACCTTATCTATCTTGGAAAGCTGCCATGTCAATATTTTCCAAATGAGGTGCTGTGCAAAGAAAGACTGGGCACAGAGTCTCTGAGATTCATGGACAGATCTTCGCACTCCTGAAACGAATCTAATGAACGAACGAACGAATTGTTTCTTGTAAAAGCCCACTTCCCTTTCGCTCCTCTTTTATTTCCTATGGGAGGGACCAATCACTTTCCACCTGTGGCTTTACTCCCAAGTCTACTCTGATTTCTGAGCTGTTCTTTCCTTCTGGCAGCTCTGCGCATGCACACACTGGGAACAGGCTCCAGCTGTTCTTCTGCCTCACTGCTGTCTAGCTCTCTGTAGGCACCTGATCACTGCCAGACAGCCTCGGCCCCATCTCTGCCTCCAATGCAGCGCCCTCATCCAAGCCTTCCTCAGCCTCCAGGACTGGCCCATGCTCCTCCCCAACCTCCTCACTGTCTAATTCTGCTGCCAGCTCGGCCACAATAACATGATCAAAATTTAGGTGCTTGGCAACTAACTCATATTTATGACGGTTGCAGAGCTTTGTGATGATAAGAAAGGCCATGAAGATTAGACCCTTTGATAAAACAGTAAAACATTCATGAGAGGTTTTATCAAGTGTCATGTCACTAGAATAAGTTTAGAAGGACCATGTTGCATTTCTTTATTCGAAAGGTAAATCCCGTTGCATTTATTATTGCTATCTCTATACATGAATTGTCACCTAATGTTCAAAGCTAAATTGGTACTAGATAAGAGTCAACAGAATTCATGGGAGCTGGACTTGGGTCTCTTGTGGCAACACAACTATTCCATACTGATCACACATTTAACCTCACTTTCCAGCTCATCCTGCTCTTCTCCTACAATAACCCAGGTGTAAAGATGACCACTCACTTGTGGATTTAAGGAAAAAGTAGAATTGCTTGTGGGGAATATAGCTTTCAGTGATAGCTCAATTCTGATGGCTAAATATTGCCCTTTCGTTCAACTTCCGGGAATAGATTTATGTCAAAAACTGGAGGAGTCTTCTACTGATTAAATATTTGCTTTTAGTTTTGCTAATGCTCCATGATGATTTGAAATTAAAAGTGTGGTTCAGGGCCATTATATTACAGAAATCTTGGTAAGTAAAGGAGTTAGACAGCATTACACTATATTCTTCAATGATTATAAGGTAAAGGTAAAGGCTCCCCTTGCATGTACATGCTAGTGATTCCCGACTCTACGAGACAGTGCTCATCTCCATTTCAAAGCCGAAGAGCCAGTGCTGTCCAAAGATGTCTCTGTGGTCATGTGGCCACCAAAGGCACACGGAACGCTATTACCTTCCCACCAAAGGTGGTACCTATTTTTCTACTTGCATTTTTACATGCTTTTGAACTG